TGAAATGGGGGGCAAAGCTACCACCGTCCGAAGCAGGGTCTGTCCGGGTTGATAATGTCGGGTAGCCCAGTCCGAACTTGACATAAAAGCTGAGCATTACTCCAGTGGTAAGGTTGCGTCCCGACTTTGCGAAGTCTGTGTAGGACTCGACGTCAACAGGGATTCCCCTTAGAGTCCAAGTCGCCATCCTTGTTGCTATCCAAAGAGGTGGTTGAGTGAAAAGAAGACCAGGACGGCTCCTGTGAGGGAATTATTGTATAGGAGGAATCATGTGTTCCAGGAATGTTCTCAGAAGAGTAGAGGTATTGCTGTCATCTATCTCAAGAGTGTTAATGACCAGGGAAACCAAATTCGACCGGGCAACACCGGTCTCTCTCTGTGACCAAGGTCTCTCGGCAGACCCGAGAGTGGGACTTTCCCTTTCCCATCATCCGAGTAAGGCATCGCTTGTTTGTTCTATGAAACAACCTCAACATCACATGTTATCCTGATAGGGGAGAAACTGTCTGAGCGGTTTGTCTGGACGGTTTGTATAAACCTAACTAAGCGTGGTTTTGTTCGATACAATGCAGAGTATACCAAAACCTACATACCTGCAATAACTGGGGCTCACCCATTAGCGATACAACCTCCCGGAGTATATCCAGTAGGGAGGTATTGGGGCACCAACAACGTGGGCCAGTCCTAGGAGCTGCCCAAGACAGCCAGTTCAGAAGCCTATACCCAGTCCAATAAGGTCTCCTGGAGACGGAAATAAGGTGGGGGTTCTTCCTACCTCAGAGAGTACATCCCGAGTAGAATACGGTGGCCTCGATCCAGCAGATCAATTAAAGGAGATTTAACAGTGACAGCTAGTTTAAACAAGCGGTACCATGTCCCATCAGGTAGCACCTCCATCATGAAAACTGTGGGAACAGTAAGATAGTCCTCATGGACTGCGCATCCGAGAGAAGCACCGTAGCGGGTTGAGTATATGAGAGAGCCGCACTCTCTAATAACATAAACGGTGTCCATGCCAGTACCAGGCTGACAGTCTGAGATGGCCGCACCCGTCAATAACAGAATCAGTGTCTATATCCATGTCTGGCTCGGTCTACAAGAGCGGTTCACGCAATTTGCATGAAAATAAGTCTCAGCTGAGGTCTTTATGGGAGGGTCGCGCCCTCTAACAGTAAAATTAGTGTCTGGTTAATATATGAGAGGGGTCACCCTCTAATCATGTAAGCTAACCACAGCTGCGGGCTGAGGTTATGGGAGGGCCGCACCCTCCAACCTTACCCACCAAAGTCCCCCTTCGTCCTAGGGCGACTGTGTGTGAGGGCTTGCCCTTTAATGATAGTCAAGTAGGGTTGAGGTCCTGAGAGGGGTACCACTCTAACCATGCAATCACTTTCTGTATCTGTCATATGCGAGGTGGCCTCAACTGGGAATAAAAATACTGACCAAAGGCTTAGAGACAATTCAGCCTAGGGCAGTGTCCATGAGACTAAAAGTGGGCAGGCCGAGAAACTGCAATAGTAGAAAAATACGGAATCTACAAACGGTCGCCTGGATTCTGCGTAAGTGCACGGGATCCAGGATGACCGCCGGTAGCCTGAGGAAACGCTGGAGACGTTCTGCACGATCCACGAAAGCCCGGGAAGTCGGAGGAGGCCAATACAGGCCTCTAAAAGTCCCGAGCGACAGGAAAATCGGGAGACATGAAAAAAAAAAGGGAACGACAGAACTAAAGGTCAAGTTCAGAAAGGGAACCTAGGAAAGGTAACAGAACAGACAGGGAAGCCAAGAACAGATAAACCCAACAGGAATAGCAAGGAGTAAGTCTGCTCATAATGGAACTCTCCTAGAACTATGATGTCGTCTGGCTGGTGAAAACCGTGGCTGCCCGCCCAGGGAGATTCGTAGGAGCCTTCACCCTACCAATAATACTTAGGTGCCTGTGTCAGGTCTTTTCTGGTGTGCCAGAGTCTGACTCTACTTGCGTGTGCAGAGTCCTCATTGTGTCCCTATATGAGGCACCAATGGGGGGGCTCGTGGCAGTGCTATCCCGACAGAGGTGGCCACTGCCGCCTAATCATTGTCTGCAGGCTTTCTTGGGTCGGGGCGTCTGTAGTGGTTAGACGTCTAACTGTAGTGTGACCCTCGTGGCGGGGATGACCGGTGTCATCCCAGATAGCATGGTAGCAGTGCCTGTCTGGACAGTATCCCCGGTAATAGTCCCCCAGGCCTGCGGCCGAAGAGGGTTTTGGGCACAGACGGAGTAGGCCAATCAAATGGGCACAGACAGAGCAGGCCAGTCAAATGGGCACAGACAGAGCAGGCCAATCAAATGGGCACAGACAGAGCAGGCCAATCAAAGGGACACAGATATAGCAGGCCAATCAAAGGGGGCACAGACATAGCAGGCCAATCGGAGACCACAGACATAGCAGGCCAATCACGGGCGCTGTGTAGGCGGTAGCAAGGCAGCAATGTGTGAAACAGCCCCATCCATATATAATAAACTATAGGAACCTTGGGGTCAAGTAGCTCCAAAGCATAGAAAAACCATCTTGTATAGTGTGAGCACGTGGTTAGTACTAGGACTTCTATCAGGTAGTCCCTTAATGCCTGCTGCCAGCTACAGGAATATCCAAATTGTAGGAAAACTCAAAGCAGCGCAGGGAGAACTGCCTACAGACTGCTCTCCCACACAGTAAAATATACAAATATTTCTACCTATAGTCTAACTCCTGTAAAAACCTAGTGAGGGAGAATGATGGCCAGGATGATAGACTAACCCTGATGCAGGATGAGGGAGCCCTAGCAGCCCATCAGATGGTGCAGGATGCGGTCTGGATAGATCCACTCATAGAGGGGGAAACTGTCACCACGTGGAAGATGAAATCACAGACTCTGTTCTAGAGAAAGGTGCTCTAGTTTGACTATCTACCAAGCAGTAGCACCTTTATCCGTCTTACACCATCAGACCTACACATAACGGAGCAACAGAGCATCCTGCCCGCAGACCGTCATGCATAAGGTACCTCCCCCACACTCCCCCACCCGGTCGGACACACGCGGTCCGCAAACGAGGTGGCCGCGGGAAGCGGCCACGTGGTGAAAGGAACCAGCTGCCGGGTACTCTGCTCATTCGCAAGTACCCTCGTGGCCGGAGGAAAAAACACACGGGGCCGCTGGAGATGAGCTCCGCTGTCCCGGATCTCGGGGAGCTGTAGGAGGCAGAAAAGGACAGCCTCCTGGAGCTCCCGAACGGCACACGCCCCGCCCGGAATAAGGGCAAGGGGCAGTGGCGGACTAAGGGGGGGGTCGGAGGGGGCGGTCCGCCCCGGGTGCCACCTGGTAGGGGGGTGCCTTGACCCTGGTCTTGGGACTGGAGGGGGCTGTGTGAGCTGTGCCCCATGGCAGCTGGGGTGTTGCACAGCTCACACGGAGACCAGCACGCTAAACTGGCCGCCTGGGAGGAAGAAGGGGGCGGAGTTATGGCTGTTCAGGGGCGGTGCCTAATCGCGAGCGGGGTGGGGCTTAACACGGCCCTTACCTGCTGCTTTTAATGCTACATATGGAGGTGCAGCAAGCAGAAATCCCTGCACCTCCACCTCCAGCCAGGGAAGGACTTCAGGCCAGGGAATCCACTCCTCCAGCCCACACTGTATGTAAGTATAAGAATGTGTGTGTGTGTGTGTAACTGCCTGAAACTGTGTGTGTGTGTGTA